CATTGCGCTGCGACATTACCCTGTGCCTAACTTTTATATCATGCTGGTTTTTGGCATTGCGAACCGCTTCGTTATATTTGTTTCTGGAGGCGACGTCGGCTTGTCTGTTCTCTACAGTGGGGTTTTGTAAGACAATTTCACCAATTGAACATCTGTGCGATATGATGGGAAGAGAAGCGACTTCTTTACGTCAACCTCTACAAACGCTGATAGCTTCTCATCGGAAGCATGACCCGACAACTGAACAATGTACACGGCTTTCTCTTCAACACTCAACTCTTCTCTTCCTGATACTACAACTCGAGAAACTTGGTTCACTTCGCGATCGAATGTCATCGCTGTTGCACATGACGTCACTCAACTTCAAATATTCCGCTTGTTGATAAAACATACATCGTATTTGTTTTCAATATTTGGAATATTTGGCCTCAGGTAAGGATTCAAGCTCCCAAAAGAACGACTACCCCCCAAAACGACAAGCATGCAAGAGGTTATGTCGATTTTTTTATGTACCAGGTTAATTGTTATGATAATCTTAAACTAAAATGTTGCAACTGCATTTTTGCGGATCTGAAATGCGATGAATTACACTTCGACATTTAAATTCACATTAACAAAATTTCTATGGGATCATCATTCTAGCCGCGGTGTACCGGCATTTAGGCTTCTGCCTGCGCGGCTGCTTCGATATATACAGGGTGTTTCAGTTTATTGTTGCATAACTTTAAGATTCGATAGAACTTTTAAAATTAATGCTGGCTTGGCTTGTTTTCATACCGGCCACACTGGGTCCTCCCTTTAACTCGAGAACACCGACGTAATCGCCTTGAGTGGTGCAGACAACGGTCACTCTGGGATCAGGAATGGAACAGTATTGTCTTTAGTGACGAGTCTCGATTTTGTTTAGGCATGCACGATGGTCGTGCCACGGTTAGAAGGCGACGTGGTGAAAGGAGGAATCCACAGTTTTTGTTGAAAGGCATGTTCATCACACTGTTGGAGTTATGGTTTGGTTGGGTTTGTGGGGTGCTATAGCTTATGGTTCCAGGTCTTTAATCTTCATCAGAGGGGTAACATGAACGCGCAGCGTTATATCCACAAGTTCTAGAACCCCATCTTTTACCCTATCTTGACACCCTGGCAGATCCAACTTTCCAACAAGATAATGCCCGACCACATGTTGCAAGAGTCACAATAGACTTCTTTCAACATAATGATGTCACATTGTTACCATGGCCACCAAGATCTCCCGACTTATCCTCAATTGAGCACGTGTGGGATATGATGGGTAGGAGATTGCTCAATTTGCAACTCCTTAGACTCTAGAAGCACTTCGAGAGGAGTTGGTGGTTGCCTGGAATGAGATACCACAGGAGGACATTGACCACCTGATCAGAAGCATGCCTAGGCGCGTTGGAGAATGCGTAGCACATCAGGGTGCATCCACACATTATTAAAGGTCAAAGGGCTTTAAAGCAGTGCAATCATTTTGAAATTTTCATCATCTACTTATTATGCTTCATTAAGTACTTATACAAAATTTTATTAAAATAAAACCATTTAAACTGGGTGTTCGGATTTATATGTCACTTAGTATAGCAATTCTGAGAATTGTTTGAACGTTTGGCAGTACTACCAGAATAAACCTGACGTATTGCCTGCGTAGGAGAGGGACGCTGCCTCTTTAAGTTATCAAAGTAAAGGGATAAATAAAATCGACAACAATAGTTTCAATAATAACAGCTTCTATTTACTTATAACAATAATTATTTATAAGTAATACTCAAAAATAGCAGTAAAGTTCTGTGCCCAACAAATCAAAGAAGGTCTAGACAATTATTATTTATCCAGGGTTTTCTCATTATCACTATTTACCTAGGGGAAAAACCGTAACTTCTCTTTGTATGAATACGGTAAATAGCGGTAAAAGTCAGTAGTGAAAAAAATATGTTTTCTGTTGTTTAATAATTTATCAATCTTTCTGGCATAGCGCAAGTGGTAATTGAGCGAAAAAGGGGACAAAGCACAACCTTGGTTATTGTCTCCGTTTCAAATAACTGTCAGTCGTAGCGCGTGGCGTGGGATGTTAGATAATAAATCACTAGACGGCCTGTCACTTAGAGCAATTAAGCAATTCTGACCTGTCATTTCAATACCAACACCCTGAATTAAAACATGACAGTTAATCAAGTGTCCTTGAAAATATTATTAGTAGTAGAGGTTCCATGGAATTTTACTAGAATTGTGTGAGGTGCTCTCAATTCTTGCGCAGCTAGTTGATGTCATACAGGGGTTTCAAAGTAACCTCATAATGCTGGTTTATAATAATATAATGATAAGTTTTGAGCTATAGGAATACATAGCGTGCTTTTTTAATTGTTTTAACGCGACTTCTTTAGTTTCGGACATGTGAGATGTTAAATTGACTTGAAAAGTATGAGTTCTCAGAATTCCTTATTACGAACCTTTAGCAGATCAGATATAGTAAGAGGTTTCGAATTATTCACCGTCAAAATACTACTTCTCTACCAGTCCTTAAACTTCACAGCGTTTGACGAATATAGTGTTATTTTAACTATATAAAAAGCCACGATATTTTTTTCATATGGCAATAGAAAAAGAAAGACTATAATGTAATGAAACTAACGCCAACTAAAGAATACCGACTGCTACAACCAATATAAAAATAAATTTATAGAGCTTGCAAGGCAAACCAAACGAAACATTACCTAAATAAATTGAATAATAACTTAAATGATCCTAAGCGGCTTTGGACAACTATTGATGAGATTACTG